CCCCCCCCCCCCCCCCCCCCCCCCCCCCCCCCGGTGCTGTTATTAGTATAATTATCAACAAGACTACAGTAGCAAGGTTCAGGCGTGTTGAGCGGCGCAGCGCGGAGAAGGTGTTTGTGTGACTTTGGGATGAACCGGTTTTTTGATGTTTGACAGTTCAACAAAGGCCTCCCCGGAGGGATTCCGCCTCGTCCGACTCGTCTGACTGCTTAATCACTTTAAGGAGCTGCTTAATTATACCTTTAACTAATGGAGAAAAAGTCAATATGAGTTTTTCTTTTTTCTGTCCAACTTTCTTCCGCCCATCGCTTCGCTGATCATGCTGTAATATAAAATATCCCACAGCCAAAAATTAATAAATAAAACAAAAAAAAGAATACAAAACAACAATAACAACATAAATCCGCTACAACGGTTCACGCAAACATAAACAGTTGTTTAAAACTGCGTGGATAGAAGAGACTTGGATTATCCGGACTGCGAAAGAACAAAAGCAGGGACGAATCAAACGCATAATCTCACCGGGATCTCTTCCTTTATTCTTCTCTCGTCGTTAGAAGTAGTGAGATTTGCAGCAAGAGGGCACGATAGACCTGTGGTAAACAGCTAATTTTAACAGTCTGGCATTAATAAAAAAAAACGTCCAAATTGTTAATTTATCTGCCAAGAACAAGATTTTCATGTCAGACTTGCTGCTAATCTGAAGATGTGATTTTTTTTTCTACATCAAAACCCCTAAAGCGTCGTAATCAAACATTAAAGCGAGACAATTCTAATTTCTTTCTGGACCGCAGTTGCAGATTTTGGGAACATGCATTTCAACACTTGCGCATAACGCGGTTCAGTTGTTTGAAATAACTTTGACTTCAAGTTTTCGCTGCCTGTAATTATCCAATTTAGACACGGAAATTGACTGCGGTTAAAGAGACCCAGAAATAAATACTGATAAACGGTCACTGAGAGGTATAATGGGAGGGAAATTATTATTTTGAATTATATAGAAAAGTGTGTGTGGTAAATCTTTCTCTTCCCCCCTTGACGTTTTTATTGGAGCACAACAGAGAGAATTCAATCTGCCTTATCTCTCCAGGACTCCTTTTCAGCGCGAGATCAGAAGGAAAAAAGAGAGGATAATTGTTCTTTATTTCATTTAATTTAACGCGACAGCCAGGCTTTCAGGTCATTTATATGCTTCATTTAGCGATAAAAGTCAATGAGGAGGGGAAACACGGAGTAAAAGCGGGTGCTTTGACTTCTTCTTTTTATCATTTTATTCCCCCCACAACACTTAAGTATGAAGGGGGGAAAAGTAGAACAGATTAAACAAAAGTAGAATAGGGAGGGGGTGTTTAATTAAAAGCCATGGGTCACTTAGATGATTGCGTTTTAATGTCACCCTGAAATCATCAGCTGGACAAGCAATTTGACAAGTGCTGTTGAGAATGTGGTTTATTTGTAGGCGAACTAGTTAAAAAAATAACAATAATAATGAAATGATTGGGAAAAAGATCCCTTCTAAAGGAAGATTCATTAAATGATGATGAAAATGATGACCTATATGTATATAAATAACATATGTTACATTCCTTTTGTCTATTTTTTCAATTTGCACAAGATTTTCGACGGCACTGGGGGTTTTAAAACAGATGTAATTTCAGAAAATCAAAATTGGCTCGGAAAGTAAATAGATAAACATATTTAAATGATCATTGGATAAATCCCGGTCTATCTAAAATTAAATCTTGGATACCATTTTTGACGGTAAAAGAAGTAAAACCGAAATGTTGTGTTTGTTTGAAGACACGGGAGCTTCAGTTTGGGGGTCCCTGAATTCACATTGAACGCTGATAAAGAAGAAAAAGGATGAGGAAGATGGGGGTGTTGTGGAGTGGATGAGCTGAGAGAAAAGGAATCATGCCACGCTCGATTAATACCTTGCGCTATTGGAACAGTGATTCACATCTTATTCTTTATGCCTTTATTCTTTATCCCTCCCGAGCGATTAAACGTTTTTTTTAATCGTTTTCATAAATTGTATGAAGAGACACATGCAAGACGTGTGCACTTGGTCCTGTGGGGTCATTTTTCTGGAGAGTAGATACAGACACGGAGACCGCCGAATTGATACGGTCCAGCAAGTTCAGTCACCTGAAAAGTCCGCTGACACGGTCAGGGTTCACGTTACGTTTCAACTGTTAAGTTTTACCGGATCGTCATCAGGAACAGGCAACTTTCCTACAGCATCCCTATCCATTTCTTCCTAAAACTTCCCCACAATTTAGAGTCTTGTTTAAAAAACCTTAATCTATAAATTCAAATTTTGACCAATGACTGAGATATACAAGGATGTATCTCGGATCAGATGAACAAATCTGAAGAAATGGGTTGTGAAGCCTTTTTGGACACTGCGACTTATTAGTTTATATTTTCTGTCTTGCAACGTCTCTGATTTGTGTGATGACCCCCTGGAATAATTCTTACCCTGAGGCTGGGGATAGTAGTTCTATCTAAATGTTCTATCTAAAAATCTTTATTTTATGCCTCATTTTGCACTTGTGATTTTTGTCTTTCTTTTTCTTTTTTAAATTAATTTTATTCATAGACAATGTTTCAGGGGCTGCAGCTGCTAATTCAGTTTCTGATCATACGTTTAACATCACTTATCAGTCAGGAGGAATGCTCAATAACATCATCATTATCATAATTATAATTATAATCAATACAGGTTTTAAGACATCATACACGTGGTTGGACTTGGTTCTTATGAGCTTCAGAGAATCTTATGCTATCTTCATTCAGTATAAACCTTTCTTAAATTAGGCTGTGTAAATTGTAGTTGTCTTTGCTTTTTGCATAACCATGCAAAAGGGCCCTTTTGCATTTCAGTACGAGTGATGAAAATATAAACTCAAAATTCCTCAGTTTGTTTAAGAGGTATTCAGAATAACTTCCTTGAGTTTTTTGCGGTATGGTTGAACATTTTAATATTTTTGTCTCCCGCAAATGACATGATTTTTGTTCAAAATGATCAAACACCCACAATCAGCAAAGTAGACTTTTTTTGTTATCATGTTACTAAGACCTTACAAATATTTGCTCTACATATAAAACATGATTGATTATTCTGTGCTTTCATAAATAAAGTTGTCTTTCTCCAAATGATTACGCTTCATTTATCATTTTTTACGAAGGAACTCAATACAGTTTCGATTTTTTATGTGAAAATGGATAGTTGTACTGAAGCTGTTGTGAGCTCCACACACAATACTTTAACAGTGGAGACTCTGCAGTCTCTTTGCCTCTTGACAGCATAAGTCCATGGAGTCCCCTCTTTAATTTAAGCGTACTGTTTTCACAAAACAATCTTGTAAACCATCTAGACAAAATACCCTTTTGAAAAATTACACCCTGAAATGAGAAAAAAAAATCGTGTGACAAAAAAAAAAACCTTGGGTCTTTGGCCACAGGAGCTGATTGTACATTTGGAGCAGCTTGGCTTTGACTTATTGCAGGATGCAGCCATCCCAACGCTTCAGGAATTTTAGTGCCTTGTGAGAAAGGTTTCAATTTTTATGTTTATTTGTTAATTTTATCTAAAGAGAGAACATTTGTACAGATGTCAATTGATGGTCAGCTCTAATAGTCC